GAAGAGTTTAAGATAAGTTGTGTACTTTCTTTATTTTACTTAAGTCTTATTTTGTAAAATTATATTTATTTATAAATCCATGTGCTAGTGTTTCTTCTTAATGAGATCTAAGTAGTTTTCTTTGTCTTTCTCCCTGCAATGAGGAATAATTATGTGTAGGAATGAAGTTTATTAGAAGTTTTTTCAATTCCATAATTTGTGATGATTCAAACTCTATGCTTAATTTACTTATCGATCTGACCAATTGATTTACTAAAATATGTTGTGAAACGTAGTGACCGACAAGGGTTATGCTTCCACAACAAAGTAATAATCACATTTAGTCTCATGGATAGGAACGTAGTCCATGGGGTGCAAATAAATAGTGAAATAAATTTTAATGGGTGTAGAATTGGAGGTTTTAGAGTGATGGACTAAAATGTCCAATTCGGTCCAGATGTTTAGAAACTAAAGTCCAGATGTTTGGAAACTAAAGTGAGATGTTAGCCTTGAGGTGAGGGGTAAGTGGGAACTTTATAGTGACAGCTAGTATCTTCCTATCCTAACCATGAGTTTAGGGACTAAACTTTGGATTGACCAATGTTATTTATGCACTCAAGTATGCTCTGATTTGGCACAATACATTAATTATATTTAAAATTATTTAATTCATCCACTAATTATAAACTCATTGCAAGGGGAGTGATGTTTTATACAAATTTGAACTCTTCCATACATTGTTAGTTTAGAATTGCTTGGTGGTAACTTTACATTTTAGCCTTTTTACATTGTCTTGGATTTACATTCTACATTTTCTTAGCATACTTTACATTCCTTTTAATTTTATAGGATTAGTTAATACACAAAAACTTTTTATCATTTCCTATATAAGTTAACTACATTTTAAAGAAGATTTTACTATAGTCATCCTATAAGAGTTTTGCATATCCCTGTGGGATCAAAACTTACGACTCCATTAAAGCTTTATACTACTTGAAACGATACGTATACTTACGTAGTAACGCTAGTGTGTAAATAATTTTTATTAACTTTATATAATATTTAATTTTGCACACTAGCCGCTAAAAATTATAAATTGGTTCAAGCTTTTGGTCATATTTTTGAACTAAAACTACTGCATAATTGCGGGTTGGGTCAAGTTTTTTGCGTCGTTGCCGGGATATCAATGAAACATTTTTACTTAAGAAAAATCTTTATTTTAACTATAAAATCAATATAGAAAAATTGTAGTGTCATATATATACGTGTTTGTGTGTGTGTTTAAAAATAAATAAATATACATATATTGTGTGTTTTGTTTGTTTTTGTTATTTATCTTTAATAGTTTATGCGTAATACATGATATGAAGGATTAGTGTCTTATGATTTTGAGTTAGAGCGAACTATTAGAAAATTAAAGAATAAAAAGTACTTCACAATTTTCAAGAAATGGCAAGTACTTCACATAATAATTTAAAAAAATAAATTGATGAGAATATACAAAAACCATTAAGAGGTTATGCTAACCCTCTGGTAGATGAAATTCATCATAGTATACAAACTCCTGTCGTAGAAGCCAACACATTTGAATTAAAACCTTTATCATTCCGATGGTACAAAACAACTAATTTGGGGGAACTCTATCTGAAGATCCTAGCTTACATCTTGCAAGTTTTCTAGAAATTTGTGCCACATTTCAGTATAATTATATCTCTAATGATGTTGTTAGACTTAGGTTTTTTTCTTTTTTTTGAGGGATAAAGCTAAAATATAGTTGAACTCATTAGAACCTGGATCTATTAGAAATTGGAGTGTCCTAGCACATAAATTCTTGGCTAAGTATTTTCCACCTTTAAAAACCGCTAAGCTTCAAAATGATCTTACATCTTTTTGTCAATTTAAAGGAAAATCAATATACGAGGCTTGTGAACGCTTTAAGGAACTTCTTAGGAAGTGTGCACATCATTCTTTGCTTGATTGGTTAATAATTCAAATATTTTATAATGGGTTAGTATGACCTCTTAGATTTATTATTGATGTTGTTATTGATAGTTCATTAATGTCAAAACCTTTTGATGAAGTATATTCTTTAATTGAAGAAATGACTACGAATAATTTTCAATGGCCTTCTGAACAGGTAAATCCTAAGAGAATAGCCAGTGTTCATGATTATGATGTTATTTCTATGTTAACATCTCAAGTAGTTGTAATATCAAGAAAGATAGATCAATTGGGATGGAATTTATCTCAAACACCTCCAGTGATTGAAGATAGTTCATCAGGACAAATGGTTGATTCTAATATTTCTTCATTTGAGACTTTAAATGTAATTAACAATAAACTTAATAACCTTTATTCTAACTATTACAACCCAGGTTGGAAAAACCACCCTAACTTTAACTGAAATGATAATTTTGGTGGTGCTAACTGACCCGACCAACAATTACATAGTATTTTAGCTTCCAAAAGATGGCAAAAAACTTGACCCAATTTATATTTAGCAGCTAGTGTGCAAAATAAAAATGTTATAAAATTTAGAAAATAGTTTACACACTAGGGGTACCACACAAGTATCTGTATCATTTCAATTAATATAAGGCTTTCTTTAAAAATCTCAGTATCGATCCCTGACCTGACCATCAATTACGAAGATTTTTAAGCTCTAAAAGATGACTAAAAACTTGACTCAATTTATATTTAAGCGGTTAGTGTGCAAAATAATATTTTACAAAACTTAGAATTTGATTTATATTTCACACACTAGGGGTTCTACGCAATTATACGTATCATTTTAAGTAATATAGGGTTTTCTTTAAAGACCCCAAGTATCGATCTCATAGAGACGCGATGTAAGAAATTCCTTAGACTAATTCTTGTTTACTACTATTAGACCTTAGGTCTGAAGTTCGATTAAGATGGTGTTTTATTTAGCAACTAATTCTAAATGCAAATATTAAATGTAATGATAACAACTATTCCTAAATGCAAATATTAATTCTAAAGATAACTTTTTTAGATATAAAGATAACTTTTTCAGATAAATTGGTTTGGAGAATTTTGAGATATTAAAGACAACCCTTCACGTGCAATGACCTAAGTAATGTGAAGGAATGAAATACTTAAAATATAATGTTGTCAGTGACAAATAGAAGCATACCTATTATATTTACCCCCTCCCGGTGCTAGCAAAGAACATTGGCTAACTTAAGACCGATTCCTTAACATCTCGACTCCACATCAGTGATATCTAGCCTCTCACCTCTAAATGCTCCTAGCTTATGTCACCATTATGACCGAATCTCAGCGTCAGGGTACTAAACCTTAAGCAAATTAATAAGAATCTAGCCTCTCACTCTAGATATAATCAATTATATTCCCATCAAAACTTACCTCCCTATTTATTACACTCCCCCTTAGGTGATCACAATGGATCTGCCTAGAATGAAGTGTGGTATTCACTAGTTGGGTGAAATCATAGCCCACCCGGGTCATTATGTTTCTCATCAGATTTTAACCTCAGAAGTGATCAGTTTGTGAAGTCAATTAAGAACCGGCCAAAATACCATCACATTAATAAACTAAGAGAATT